CTTTTATAAACTTACGGTAATAACCTAAAAGTCCAAGGAAGCCTTTAATTTGCTTCTTAGTTTTTGGTATTTTAAATTCTGTGATTGCCTTTATCTTATCGGGGTTTGGTTTCACACCATCCGCCGTTACAACATGACCTAAATACGATACTTCTTTTCTAAGAAATTCCGATTTGTCTAACTGTATTTTAAAATTTGACTGACGTAACCTTTCAAAAACTTCTCTAAGTCGATAAATATGTTCCTGTAAACTAGTACTGAATATTATAATGTCATCTAAATATACTAAGCATTATTCATTTTGAATACCTCTCAGTATGTTATCCATTACTTGCTGGAAAGTCGCTGGCGCGTTTTTTAGTCCAAATGGCATTCTTGTAAACTCATAGTGTCCATTTTCTGTATTGAATGCAGTTTTTTGAATATCATCTTCTGCCATTTCTATTTGGTGAAAACCTGAAGCTAAGTCTAATGTTGAAAAATATTGCCATCGCCCTAATTTATCTAACAAATCTGTTATGTTTGGAAGAGGATAACGATCTCCCAATGTTTTTTCATTCAATTTTCTATAATCAATGACTATTCTCCATTTTTGCTTTCCCGATGCGTCTAATTTTTTTGGAACAATCCATATAGGTGAGCACCACGCTGAATGGCTCTCTCTAATAATTTTTTGATCAAGCATTTATTGTATTTGTCTTTGTACCTCTTTTCGGTGGATTTCAGGATATCTGTATGATTTCGCTTGTACGTATATGATGCTTAATTTTGCTCGTAAAAGTTAAGTAATTACCATCTATGTGAAATATGTCTGAATACTCTCTTACTAACTTGGTGATTGCGTCTTTTTCTTCAGAGTTCATATGCTCTGTCCTAATTTTGGAAATATCAAATTTATATTTTTGGAAGTTCAAAGAATTAATATTCGATGGATCAGAATTTTCTGAAACTTCGTAGTTTTCAAAATTTTCTACATCTATTGGTCGAGATATTTCAAGAGAAATCTGTTCTTCAGATAAATTTAATACTGTGCAAATCGCTTCGTGATTTTTCACTGTAGTAAGACATTCAGGGATTTCTAAACATGATAATTTTCTGTATGGAATAATAGCATTACCATTTTTTAAACTTTTTATGTTAACCTTAATTATCTGTTCTGTTCTAGGTGGAACAGTGATAACATTAGAAGAATTTTTTGTAATCTCGTGATATTGCATGGGTATCCTTGTTGTGGGTGTGACTAAAAGATCATTGCTCAAATCAATGTTGGCATTCAATATCTCTTTCAGGTTATCGAGTCCTAAAAGGCATTGGAAATGTTCGTGAAACTTGAATAAATGAAATTTCATGAGAATATTTGGATTCTTAAAAATCTTTGGACACGGTATTGTCATACTATATTGTTCGATAGATGAACCATGTGCTGAAGTGATTTGAAATGGGTCTTTTTGAATATGTCTTGAAAATAATTTTTTCGCAATTTCAGGGTGTATGAAAGATCTTGTACTTCCAGTGTCAATCAATACTTTGAGATTATACTCCGGAAATACAATGTATGGTAGTTTGCTACATTTGTCGGTTAAACTCATAATTTCTATTGACTTGGGTGGTCCGTTGAGATTTGTGGTTGTCTCTGTTCCGAGGCTTCTTGCCCTAAAAAATCGTCAGAATTATTCTGAGAATAAGCGCATTCATAATTGTCATCATTTGGAAATTCTACAACAGGTTGGTCTTGTACACACAAGTTAAACATAGCCTGTTCTGCGTTTACACCAGGTCTGTTAAAATTTCTACCTTGAAAATTTGGTTGCTGATACGTCTGTCTAGTGGATGTACTCATCGGAGTAGGCCTTGGCAGATTATTGATCTGATTAGGTCTAAAAACGTTATTATTGTGAAAATTCGTTCTATTCTGATTAGGATTCTTTGGTCGTACATTATTAGGACTAAATTGTCTTTGTAATACTGGACGCTGTACCGCTTGGTATTGATTCCTATAATTACCAAAGTTGTTGTTCATATGGCGAACTAATTGCATATTATTTCGATTAACATTTTTATGTTTATCTACCTTATGATCAAGCTGAAAGTCGTTAGTTAATATATTCAGAGCTTCATTCAAGTCTGTAGGATTTTTCGTCCTCATGAGCGATCCTTGAGGTTCCTTTAAACCTTTTAGAAATACTCTTAATGCTACGCTTTTGCAAAAATTACATATTATCTGAGCTTCTTCACTCACACAATGTGTAGTTAAAAATGATATTTGTAAATTCAATAAACTCTGAACTTTGTTATAAAATTCAAAGGGGGTTTCATTGTTCTGTTTCAATTCACACAATTCTATATTTAGAGTAAATACGTCACGCTTGTCTTGATATGTATTTAAAAGTGCAGTTTTCAAGTCTTTCCAATTTTTTATAATATTGCTACTAATATTTAAAGCTGCATTACCTTTGATTTTCGCTAAAATACTACTCATAAGATATTCGTTCTGAAAGTCATTTTCATCCTCTAATCTATAAAATTTATTCACTAACTTTTCGCAAATATCTATGAATCTTGGTAATAATTCTTGTTGACCATAAAATTCGGGTATCATGTTAAGATACTCTGAGCGTAATGACATGCTTGATTGATTTACTTGACTGTTGTTCATATTGACTGTACTATTTAGTATACTAGGTCTTAATTGCAATTTACTTAAGCTATGTTGGACATGTTCCGTATCCGACTGTGAGTCCGAATCAGTGTCACTCAATATATCATCAAACAGCTTTTGATTGTTTTCACCCCTGTAAGACATTCGTACTTACAGTAGTAATCCAATCCGTCCCATGTGTCCGTATGCCTGGGCCACTGCTGGGTTGCCTGTCCTGGAGCAGATGTTCCTTCTGTCCTCTGGGCTGCTGTCGTCTTGGTTTCTCGATTTGGGTAGGGTTCTATCCCAAATCTGGTTCCGGTGATCACGGTAACGATATCGATATTCCGTCGGATCGTTCGCGACCAATCGCGGTTGGTTTCGTTATAGCCAGTAAACCGTTGAAACGAAAATCTCCTTTTTTCGTCTGGCTATCCTACTGGATTGACTGCGCCACTCAAATATCTTTCTTCAACGAAAACGTTTTTAAAAAGATTTATTTTTGAGAAAGAATTGAATGAGTTCTGAATCGAGACTGACTGCAAAGTTCATTATACAAACCAAAGTAAAGAACAAAGGAAATACAATACTGTAACTGATAAGAAAGGAACGTGGAGGCAAAAGTCCTTGTTCAGCATATTCTTCTCTATAGACTGGTACATAACTTGTACTAGTCTCTATTTCCAATTTTAATGATGTGATATTGTACATATCATGATAAGGATTGATATTATAAATCCTCAAATGTCAAAAAGTAATCTTCCTATAATTGGTTCTAACTCATCGAATAAAGAAGATATTATTTAACGGTAGTATTGAACTCATTGAAAGCAGTATTGCTTTATGTATCCTATAGACATGTGGTAGAATGCATAAAAGCCTCAACAATATTGCAGCTTCCTAAACACATCTCTCATCCGCCATACCTTCAAATACTATTAATCTATGCCTGAGGATTCTATGTCTATCTCTTGTGGTTCTCTCGTGGTTGTTTCGTAGCTGACTCCTTATGTGTGTGTGTATTCTGCAGAATACCAAATTCCTTAAATTTATAAGAAATATGATCAACTTTCGTATTCCGCAAAAAGATCTGACGCTACGAATTCTGCATATATCGGCCATATATGGTGTCACGATAACTGATCTTTGACATAATTAATGCTTCACACAGCTTCAGCTTTACTGAAGTAGACATTATTTGCCCATGCGGATCAAACTGCTTCAAAATTCAGTATGATGCACTACATAACGAATTTACATGCTTTTTGTGTCAGTCCAGAGTCCCAGGTTTGTACACTCATTCATTATAAGAAAACCATAACTGAAGATTTAGAAGGATTAATTATTAGGTTATGCGAGCATGAGACGACTACTAGCCTTTCTAAATCTTCGTTGAGGAAGGCCTCTTCCATTTTAAAATCTTTGTGTTGAAAACTAAGATAAATTTGAGCATAGTAATGGATTGTGCAATTATGGACATATTGATGAAAGTCTGATATATACAAAGAGGTCCCAATATGGAACCTTGAGGAATACCAAACTTCATAACAGTTGACTGAGACATTTTCGAAGCTGATAGGATCTTTTGCTTACTATTTGACAAATAACAGCGTATCAAATTAACTGCAGCATCAATAAACCCTAGTAAGATATCTTAAGTAGCAAAATTTCAGGGTCTGTCATATAGAAGGATTTTGTGTAATCTAGCAGAACTAAACAAATGACATTTCCTTGATCAAGGCCTCTTATAACATCATCAGTGATATTGGCTAGATCCGTTGTTGTACTATGGTTTTCTTTCAATCTTGACTGCATTAATGACTGAAAATATACTCAGATATTTATCTCTTTCCTGTTCCAAAAGCTTCGAACATGCGGGAAGTAAGCTGACTGGTCTCAGTTGCGTTACATACGTTGGAATCTGTACTCTAGGAATAGGTATGACGATAGCCTGCTTCCAAGGATCAGGGAAACCGGATGTTGCTAAAACATTATACATTTTCGAACAAGAATTAAAAACTCAATTCACTTATAGTCAACGCCAAACTAAGTGGCGTGCACGTCATCAAGGTGGGTGTGTTGAAAAATTTACATTGTTGCCAAACTTTTTGTAAAATAATAAAATTTATTATTTACATATCTAGGTTTATAAGCAATATTAACCTCAAATGAGAACAAAAATAATAGTATAATAAAATTATAGATCTGTACTTGCATAATCATTAAGTATGACAATTATTGATCAGATGACACTATGAAACTACCATATTTAATTGATAGCTTAAAGGTACTGAATAAAAATCCAAATGGGGTCCTCCAAATTTTATGCATGGTATTTATTTTACAGAATTCATACAGAAAAATGCATTCTAAAATTAGGTAAGCTACTGGTGTAAGCTTTTTCTGTACAATAAAGTTAGTCGGAGTTTCTTTCTTCAGCGCTGTCTGAATCTGAATCTTCATCACTCTCAAAGTTGATTATTAAAGGTTCGATGTCTGGTCGATCAAAAATTCGTTCTCTTTCATACCATTTAAAAATTTCTTGCTCAGTATGTCGAACACTATTTTTCCACATGTCTGGGGTAACCGTTTGTAGAGCCTCGTTCCACATATCCAAACAGTCTTTTTCACTGTTACCATCTCTACCAATATGTCTGTTATAGTAACCTTTTGCTATGCCCCAAATTAACTCAATAGGTTTAAATATACAATGGTAAGGAGGCAGACGAAGAACTTTGTGCCCATGTTGTTCCGCCAATTCATCAATCACGTATATTTTAGGTGGTTTGTTTCTAAAAAAGCAGTTATTTTAAGAATAGGAATAAACAAAAGAAATATAAACTGTCGACCAAAATATATATAATTAAGAAGCATTATGTACCGAGAAACAATACTCAATAGCTCTGTTTTAAACATTGTGTTTAAAAATGGTATGTTTTGATTTGTCAACCAGTCTTGGATATTTTTTTTGTCCATGCATTGTTTGGCACTTTGTTCAATATCATGCTGTGATAAGGGGCGTTATCCAGTATAATCATAGATGGACTCTCCAATTTTTCTAATAACTGATGTTGAAACCATTTCAAAAAATTGTCCTGGTTCATCTCTCCATGGTAATCGCTCAATTTTGTTTTCGAAGAAAATATCGCTTCACTACCCTCAATAAACCCATTTTCATTTCCAGCATGTAATATAATGTATCTAAAATATATTAGTTTTAAATTTTATTGTGCAAATTGTGTAAAAGTACATACCTTTTACCATCTGTTTTAATAGCTTTCACGCTTTTTTGGTTTCCATTTTGCCAAGAGCGACCTATGGTCCCATTTTGAAATATCCAAGTTTCATCGAGGAAGACAAACTGGTATAAGGCCTCAACCTTGGCTTGATTGTATTGCCTTAGAAATTCCACCCTTTTCAAAGCTATACTTGGTAGTTCCATGAGCCCTCGTCGCGGATTGTCCTTAAGCCACTTAAATCCAAGATCTCTAAGCAACCGCCTTAAAGACGTGGCACTACCATCAAATAATGCCCTATCCCTTAATCGAGACCATAAAGTTTGTATCGTAACTTGTTCTTCTGAAACCATGTGTAATATGACATTATAATTTAGTTAACAAATTAATGCAAATTTCTGATAAGTTATTATAATAAGATCTTACTTTTGTGATACATATTATAGATCACTTCTCGAATGGCACTTGTATCTAATGTCGCTGTGTTGGTTACACGTTTAATATAACTCCGCTTTTTCTTGGGCGATTCTAAATTTGCATCACTTTTCACTCCCTCGGAAATACGACTAACTGTCCTTAAACTAATTTTTAAAGCAGCAGCAACACGCTACAAAAAATGAAATAAAATTTCACTATTATTAATATACATTACATATAATTATTAGTAACCTACCTCTTGAACAGCATTTAAAGGCAACAAAGGCCCGTTGTTGTCCCTTTCTTGCTCAAAGTAGTGCATTAACGAGGCCACGAGTTCCTTACACCGACTATTTAACTGTTTGGGCATCTTTATATACCAAAATTATCTACTCGTAAAATGAATAATTTTGTTTTGAAACAAACAGTTGTTGATTTACAGTATGCGGGGCCAAAGGATTTATAAAGATTTGAAATGCCACAAATTGATTCAGTGTCAAAATTAATACAAATGTCAGTTCCCAGTTTAAATAAGTTTCAAGGTGACAATGTGTCAACGCTGCGAAATCGGTTTAGTGCGTTTACATGTCGATAAGTGATTGGAGCGTTTGCAAAACATTTTATTTCGCATAATGCGTCTAAATTTATCAGAAAGCAACTTATGTGATATTTTAATAACAATGTTTATATGACTATTAACCATAATAAGAGAGTAATGACCATTTTACAATTTATATATCACATTAATATGAAACTGCAATAGAGCAATTGTTTGTGATAGAAACCTAGGCATTAGGTCGGGGAATTTTTATCGTGATGACGTGCACGCCACTTTGTTTGGCGTTGACTATATGCAAAAATATGTTATGGCGTTCATAATAAAAGATAATGTTGATGATTGGCGACAAGTGACCAAACGTCATATTGAAATTCTAATTACGCCAGAACCCAATGGTGAGAGTTGAATTTGAAACTCCCGGTATAACGTCATGTTACGTACTATGAGTAGGTATTAAAGAGAACGTAAAGATACGACGCTTCCAATCTCGACAAGCAAACAGTCAGCTCTAATGCTTACCGGAAGCTATGATATGCAGCGTCACCAGTAACTAGATGCTCCCCTGGATGCAGTATACTAGTAGGATGTTTATTAACCAGAGCAAATGTCTATCGTGATGTTTACGCTGGATACCCGCGATCTTGACTCTGCCGCTGGCAGTGCTGATGCGGCACATTTAACATGGAAGGCTGGAGGAAATTTTCTTAAAGGGTTATATCAAATACTTTAGACATTTTGGTTTTGATAAAAACTGAGTAGTTATTCACATTGATGCATTTAATGTCATGATTTTCTTTCCTACTGCTAGGTCAAGACCAATGTTTATTACACGACAAAATATTCAAGCAGTGGCCATGATCAAAACCGGACCCGTGCACTACATATTTAATGTACGATTATCTGGGAACATATCCATCGTAAAGGCTTGCGGTAAAAACAGTTGTTACCAAAACGGCCAAGAGAAAAACCTGGAAAATATTCTCAAATTTCTGAAATAGCCGCTATGGGGCGTAACTGCAATCTAAAAAAGTGATGTTTCTGTAAATTCCGCTTTCAGCCTAACAAAAAATACCTGAACTTTAAAGGCCAAAGAAAGTTTTATACTGAAATCCCTTGAATTTTTATTTTTTTTAACTAATTTTTCACAAAGACCTGTAGAAGCCATATGATAGAAACAGCTAAGGTCGCACATGTGCCAAATTGGTCAAACTCATATTTAGCCCTTGTTTCCCTACAAAACTAGTCCGTTAGGCTGACGGTATGAACCGTGATCTCTATTCCTTCGTATAGTACTTTACTGACTCAAATATCTAACAGTAGATACCGTCTATTTGTTGTCTATAACAGAAACTGAGAAAAAAGTTTTGTGTAAGGTATTAAGTTCAATGAACCTTAATGTAACAAACACATACAGTGCCACAGTTGCAAATGGCGAAGTCTGGCCAGTGGTTATTCATACTTAACTATGTAGTGAGCTTATTGCTACCTGAACCTGAAACTTAGCCTAAAGGAAAATAATCAGTAATACAAAAAATTGTATCCAAAGGTATATCGTCTAGTCGGCATTTGTACCAGTGCTACGTATCAGGCAGATACATGAGGCGAACATATAATGGAAACTGGAGAAGAAAAAATACAAAATCAATTAAGCATTTAATAAACAGACATGGTTTTTTTGGAAAAGTTGCTAATAAAATTTTGTCGAATGAATTAGTGGACGTCACTGGATTGTACGTGAAAGAGCGTATTACAGAAAGTTTTGTATAAAAGGCGATTTGTGCTTGGCATGAGTCAAATGCCGTCCATGATCCTTACTTTTGCGGAAAGAAGGTTGGTGGACCAGTGACCATCAACAACGAGCTCGACAGGTCAATGATAATCATTTTTTTGTCCAAACTGAACGGTATTGATGTGAGCGACTTGTTATTAGTACACAGTGATCGCGGAAACATTCCACAGGGTGACTTTGAAGTTGAGTCATTAATTTTCAGATAATGATTGTAGAAGGAAGGTAAACCAAAATATGTGTGTAAAAATAAAAAAAAATTAAAAAAAATTTTTTACCTTGTTTTATAAAGTATCCTCCCGACAAGTATTTCAGTGCGGACCTATATTTGATCGTGAGGTCTTGGTGCACCGGCATGCAGTACCCTGTGTGGTCTTAAGTCACCTGATTCACGAGCCCGTTGTACTACATTAACAAAGGCACGAGGGGTTGGTTGCACTCGATTGGGAAACGGATCCGCATAAACATGTGCCATTTTTTATTTCGTTTGAGCCACGCAACAGACACCACTATTCAAACGCGTTACCGACTGACACTGACTGTATACAACTGACTAAAATAATTGTAAAAACATCGTTCCAAATTCTTTCGCTTTTTTGTTTCCGATGCGATGAACAAACACGAGCACATAATATTATTATTGAGATAGGGCGGTACTCAAACTTCCAAAGGGTTATAACTTTGTTACTTTAATTTTACCAGAAAAATGGTAAAGGAAAAAAACATTTCTTTTGATCAGATCTACTCACTGTTAAAATAAATTACTCAACTTCGAAGTCACCCTGTATATGAACCCATTGGAGGTAGGATTGACTCTCGCAGATGCTTGAACGTTTGCGTGTCGTATTTTCTGGAGTGTTTATCGTCCCTAAATCATCACCCATATTCACCCGGAAGAGTTATTAAAATTGAAGAAGAGTAACCCTAATAAATATTCAGCTTTTTGCCGACACACAAATGGGATAACTCCTACCTAAACTTTTTAATAACTGAAGTAGATTTCAAGGATGATGTACATTATTTTTTCACTCGTGTTTTGCAAACCTATTTAAAATTGCTTAAGGAATCAGCCAATAGGATTTGAGTTTTAATCTAAGTTGGCAGGTTTTTGCATAAAAGAACCAACCTCTAGATATGAAAAATCCAGATTTTAGTGAAATAATCTATCACGAGCATATAACTTATAAATTATTTAGTTGTTATGTCATATACACATATTTAAAGCCTTTAGTATGCCATTAATTAACATCGTTTTTGGTCTGAAGTGAATTCTTTATCAATGTCAAAACTTGAAGCCTAATTGCTCAATAATTTATTGTATTTCTGGGTTGGTTCCTTTCTGCAAAAAGCCGTCCAATTACGTCACAGTTTTGATGTGTTA